ATTGGCTGTTTGGCATGTGACAATCATTCAACATTTGTGTAACTATTTTCCATATTTGGGACGTTCTTACCTGTTTGACATGGCACATAGAAAATGATCAATCGGAATTCATAAATTTTGATCGTTCCAGATCAGTTTGACATCAAAACACAAGAAGAAAAAAAGAAAAAAAAGAAAAAAAATTTAAAAACTGGTGTTTAAATCAGCCTTTAAGTATTAAAAGTGTCGGAAATGCAATTTTATATATAATATATAAAGCTCATAACCTTAACTACAAACCCTAACACGAACCCTATCCAAAACCCTAAACTAAAGCAAAAAAATACGCCACACCACGTGATGGTCACGTTACTGCAAAAGTGTCTAGACCCCTGGTGGGGCTGTACAAATACATGCATGCATTTACGTGTACTTAATTCATATGTAGATCATAAGATTAAGTGTAACGATAGTGTAATACAGTATAAGATTGCAAATTTTGTAAACGCTAATTACAATCTATTTTTGTTTTCTAAGTAAACTAAATTACTGCGAATGTAAATATTCATGAACGTGATCTTGATTAAATACTAAGTTTAATGTAAATATGCAGTATATTCTTTGTTCAGTACATTTATAATTTATCAAAATTTATCTTCTTCGACCTTTTACTAAATGAAAATTGAACCCTAATCCTAACCCTACTATCATGTGTTATTAATGCAAATAAACCAATAAAATTAAATGCTTTTGTCTTGGGTTTGTGTTACTTGCAGAAATAAGTAAATCCGTCGAATACTCACCGGGTAATAAAATTGGGTTCCATATAATGAAACCGGATTGAGATCGGTGCAGATTTTACTATACCGATATAATTAAATAAACCCTAATTCGTATTCTATTAAAAAAAGTTGTTTCATATTTATTATGGGATTTCCTACCATTTCGTTAATAGGTATTGATTGTCTATACTGTCGATGATCTAATTCGGATTGTGTAACATTAGTTTAGAATAAAATGCGCAAATAAAATCATTTTTAAATCGATAAACGAAATAAGTTAGTATAGCTCTCATACAATATACAAATATTGTTATGTTTAACGCATAATTTCACTTTTTTATTCCGCCTAACGCATTATTCAATCGGAAATGGGAGTAGGATTATATTGATAAAACAACTCTGGGTAACCAGTCTAGTGTAAAGAATATTTACAGAAACTCTTTTTCTGCAATAAAATAAAAACAGTGAAATCGAATCTTAAAGAATGTATATAGTTCTGAATTAATATAATTAATACAAAAATATAGAAATTTTATTGGCCTATCACAGTTTAAATTAACAAAAAATTTAACTATTTTGTAATAAAAGACACGATTAAAGGTTAATTTTTTAAATTTATTCGACTTAAAGAAATCCTGCAATATTTTTTCATTGTTAATTTGCACAGATTACATTTACAAGTTCTAGAATCGAATTTCCTTCTATGGGTAAACGATTTGTATTTGCGAGACTTTACTTTAGGAACCTGTCTCTGACAATGGGCTATAAGGATTCCGCATGTCGGGATCTTGAGCGGATTCAAAAGTATTACAAAGTAATTAAAACCTGTAATTCCCAACTTAGTAAATTCAGTTCCTGACTGTAGGAGGATATTTAGTTACAACTTATCGATTTATGTAATGATTTTCCATAAGTTGTAACAAAGTTCAAATATGTACATATATAATTTATACTTTATAAATTTAACATGCATTGAGTGCAGAATAGTTTTCTATGTATATACAGTTAATAAATTAGTATGACATCATGATTGTTAATACTGTATGTATGTGAATTTTTATTGGCTAAATATTATATTCATTCCCAGAAATTATTGTGGAATTTTCATTGGAACCACTGGAATATTAGGAAAATCTAGAATCCAATGGGTTCCAGATTCTAGTTGACAACATCGTTGCTGTGATGAAAGTTAATAGCTGTTTCTTAATTTTTAATTTTCATTTCCATGCATCTTGTAGATGATGTGTATTTTTTTTAATCACTGCTCTTAAACGATGCTCAAGCATCTCAGCTTCACGTCTAGCATTTGCTACCTGTCGTTCAAGGTCTTCAACAGAAACTGTGGTGGTTTTAACTCCGTTGGAGATATTGGAATTTGAGGACTGGGTGGAATTATTCCATGGACTAGGATCGCCGTTCATTATTGGAGAACCTGGTGAATTGTTGTCGGAAGAACCAAATAAGGGGGAATTGGATGAGAATGATGTTGGTAAATTGAAAATGGATGATGTGTTGAAGTTGAAATCCTTGGAAAATATATTAGAGGATGAAAATTCAAAAGTTGAATCGGAGGGTGATTTTGGATCAGAGGAATTCTTTAACACACAATGTGTGGAAATAGATTCATTATTGGTGTCTTTTGAGGTACTAGGAGAGAAGACGGACGTTGGAAAATCGAATTTAAAGTCCGTTGACATTTTATTATGTCTTTTTGAATTATTAGTGACGAGGTTGTCTTTTTCATTGTTACTTTCATTTGAAATATTTTGAAATTCCCCAATGTTCAAACTATGTGCATACTCGATTGAATCAGTGTCCTTTAATGTAAGGTCATTTACCATTAACTGGGCTTGAACGCTCGAATTCTTATCCTTTTTTTTAGATTTCTTTGAAAGAATCGGCATGGGTACAATAGATGGCTCAATATCAGATTTTACGTTTGTTTCACCAGAATCATTAACCGAAGTGCTACTATCACCTTTATGAACTAATGCATCTTTATGCTTTGAATTGTTTGCATCGTTAGCGGAAAGCAATTGTCCATCAACATTAGATTGTTGTTTCTTTGAACTTTTCGAATTTCTTCGGTTCCACTTTTGAACAGACGTGGTAATTGATGAATCTGGTGTTATATTCGAATCTGATTTTCGAGTGACGTTTTCATTAGGGGATCTCTTGTAAGTTTGACTCGACGGGCTGGCAGCGGACTTAACTTGTAAATCATTTCCGCCATTCGTCTTTGTACTTAAAATTTTGACTGGCGCAGGTTTTAAAGAACGATTTGCATTAACTGAACCAATTTCGTTATTTGTTTTTTTGTGTACGACATTCTTGTCAAGAAACACCGGACTTTTGATAAGGGCTGCATTGATAGATTGATCTGTTTCCTTTTCAATTTCAGTAGTTCGTTCCGAAGGAGTGGATGTTTGTATTTCTTTTGAATCGTCATTTATGCCTATATAAGTAATCATTCCACATCCAGAAATTTTTCGAACAAAAAGAAAGCAAGTCGATTTACGATGTTACTATTTTGGGCTTTATAATATGTTTATCACCTCCCGAAAAGAATGCAGAATTTATAAAATTGACGATATAAAAACACACCTTCCCAAAAAAAATCAAATGCAAAAAAATTTCAATTGAATTATAAACAACTACCCACAAAATTATAATTCAAGACACACTCTTTGTCTCTGTCTTTTTGTCTTTGGTTCAATTTTTTTATTTTCTTTATAATTGGGATTAATAACCCCGACCACTAAGCATTGAAGAAAACCCACCTGCATCCATATTACCCAATCCGATTCCTACACCGAACCCACCACCAATCTGTTCGTCACCTGTTCTTGTTACCCGTTCAAATACACTTAACCGATGGCCCCCAACATTTTGTATTGGCTGATATTGCTGCTGTGACATTACTGGCGCACCCGGTGCCCGATATGCATTGTCCGCTTGAGAAATCCGAACAGACATAATTGCAGGATCTTGAAGAATATTAGGTAATGCCTCCGCTACAATTATCACCGTATTAGTAAGAACATGTAGAATTATTATAAATTATATATCCAAAATTTATTTAGAAGCATGAATTAATAAAAGATTACAAACCTTCATTGGACACTTCATCGTGAGAATTTGAATTAACCGCGGCGGCCTTAAGAAAAGCACCGAAAAAATCTTGAGCTTCATTTCTAGAATGATTAGATAAAAACTGATTTTGTGACGGTTGATGTGGAGGTTGATGCGGGGGTTGCCGAGATAAGTAGTCATCTTCAATATTCCAAGAGGTACTTGGTGGATTCCAACCACCTGTCATGCCATAATCCATTCGAGGAGATTGAGTATAAATTCCAGGTGGTGGTGACTTAATAGTCGGCGGTACAACTGAATTTCCGCTCAACTGCTGATGATGCTGCATTAACATGTTTTGGTGAAAATGATGATCTAGACCAGGAGACGTGTTATTAAGAAGATTTTGGGCTTGGTTCACATTAGAAATTGGAACACCAGGAGGCGCTGTCATCAAATTTCGACGCAACGGCGCAAAAGTAGAATCATTTGTTGTATTCCACATGGATTCTTGATGCACATCACTTGGTCCAAAGCTTATATTAACGTTTGGAAATAGTGCTCGGAAGCTATCCTGTACATCTTTCATAGCCAAGGGGTCTGCCGAATTTAAGTGTGTAAATTCACCATCTTCTTGGGCAAAGCCGAACCGTGAAGAATTTCTTGATTTTGTAGAATTAGAATATGCCTGCGAATGTGTCCTCGCATCATTTACGTAGGCATCCGAAGTATTATTACCAAGAGATGATATTCCAAGAACGCCTAAAGATGGGCTTTCGCTAGAGAAAGGATCGAATTTGTCATCATCAGGTGCAAATGGGTTGAACGAGCCAGTATAAGGGGTAGGTGATGGTTGATTAAATTCAGTAGTGTTTGAAAGGTTTGAAATGTCTGCTCTAATAAATCCAACGCCCGGGGGTGGTGAGACTATACGTGAGCTTGCAACTATGCTACTATCTTGCACAATTGTAGAAGTTTTCTCGCTAAGCTTTTCCTCGGTATTTGATGCTGAATCTGGTAAAGGTCCATTAAATGAAAAGGAAAAGGAGCCGTCACTGAGTATAGACAATGTTTGATCAAAATCAGCAACTATATCGGTTTGTTTTGTCAAAAGTGGATTATCTGTATGCGATTTAACCGATAAATCCGATTTTTTTTCCAATCTTTCTACTTGAATCGGCTCATTAGCAAATCGTTGTGGTTGCTCTGCCTCTACATCTTCATCTGTTTCGTTCTTTTTTACAGTCGAAAGCGACATAGAGACATAATCCACTTTTTTGACTACCTTTGCATTTATTGATTGTGCATCTGATAAACGTTTTGTCTTTGGTTCCTGAGATGATGATGGTGTGGGAGAGGACTGTTGTGAATTTGATGTATGTGTGAATGAGGAATTCTGTGACGATTGCAACAAAGGGAGCTGTACTGAATGTGGTAGTTGTGATGTAGGTAGTTGCTGATTATGTAATATTGGCGTAGTTTCGGTACTTGATGGTTTAGTGGCCCAAGATGCAGTTGGAGGTAACGCTGATGCTGTGTGTTTTTTTTAAAAAAAAAAAAAAATTTAAGATTTGAAATATTATGTTAAATTACATATAAATAAAATATAACTTCACCCTCTTCCCTCTCGTCGTTACTTCCTCTATCACTTTCTGGTCCGACTATTCGGTGTGGTGGAGGTTCAGCTTTTTTAATAGTATGCTGTTGAGTAGAATGTGGCGGAGGAAACACTGAGGTCGGTCCTGATGATGGTGGTCGACCTAATTGTATTTTATGTGCTTCGGTGCTTGCATGTTCCTTGAGATGGTACTTACTATATGGTTGATTACAAATTAGCAAGCAAAGATACGCTGAAATTATGGTTTAAAAAAATAATAATAAATAATAATAATAATAATAATAATTTACACAGAAGCCAAATCTTCTTTAGTGTAACTATCTGCTTCTTCACCCGGTTCGTGTAAATACATGCAATTTGGATTTTGGCAGACCATACTGCGCAAATAATATGTGCAATATTTTGTTGTACCGTATGATGCCCTACGTTCGAGACATTAATAAGCAAATTAGAATTGCAAGCGAAGCATAATAAAATAAACGAGCATCCGCTGTCAAGTGTGGAAACAGTGGTATGATTTTAACCTCAACACTTTGCCGTCCGAATTGCTGCCATCCACAGCTGCTATTGCTCTTGCTGCGTCTTCTTTTCGTACGTATGTGATATAAACCCCAACGCTAGGCTGGGGTGGAGGTGTGCTGGGGACAGTCGATGCTGGAGGATTTCGACGATTTACGACAATTTTGGCGATCTTACCGTATTGGCCAAAATAGTCATGAGATCGTAGTATCTTTAAGAACAACGCGAGTTGAGTGCGAGGTTTGACAACAATTCAATAAACTACTGATACTGATCATATGGAGAAAAGGCGATATTTGTTGTTTTAACCATCGCCTACCTCCTCATTCGCAATCTTCGGGCTTAGTCCAATTACGTAAACCAGGTTTTTTTGAACCACTCTCATGTTAGACAGATGTTTTCTATTCATCGCTTCAAGTTCCTTTTTTTCACGCTCTCTTTGCTTCTTTTCATTCTTGATCCGCGCTAACCTAGACAAAGTAAAATGGTTTCATTAATAGTATTAATTTTAAAACAGATTATCTAGAAAAAAGTCCCCAAATTTTGTATTATATTAAAATGCATGTCGAGATGTTAACAATTTTTAACTTACTCTTCAGCTGATATGGGCTTAAATTCAATAGTTTGTTCAGAATATACTCTACGACAAGCAGGACAAAGTCCATTCAAATTCTCTTGAATATGATGCCAGCAAAATCGACAAATCTTAATTACAAAAAATAAGAATAAAAAATTAGTTATTAATAATCATACATATATTTAATAAACAAAAAAAAAATGAAAAAGAAAGCCTTATTCAAAGTTTGAAATCAGTATCACATATTTCTTATACAATTAAAACAGTTCAAATTTATCAATGCTTTTCTTAACTGTATATGTTATGTTTAAGAAAAATTTCCCATGTTTGGTCCGTTGAAATCTCACCTGATAACCACAAGGGCATGGTCTGAAATTCCTATCAGATAGATCCATCTCTTCCATGCAGAGAGGGCACTGGAACTCCTCTTCCTCTGAGTAATACTCGGTCTTCGACATTTTTACAGGGTCTCTTGCTTGTGCTGGCTGGTATAAACTTTGATTGGGGTTCTTACTCCGCGAACGTGGGGTGAAAAGACAAAAAGACCTCCGGAAATTAGTATTGCTCCTCAGTATACGCGTGGAAAGTTTGCTTGCCTTCTTAAAGCAGACGAAATATAAGTTAGAGGCTTGAGGGAAATGACTATCACTTGTATGGATGCGGCTACAGGTTTGACAAAATTGTCTTGAGAAACAGGGAGAGAAAATGGTATCACAACCCACGCTTTTTATAGAAACGCTCAGATTTATGTGATTATTCTATTTTTAGTTTTAGTGATTGGATAATTTAGTGTGGCGTGGTTTGTCAAAATTTTTTCAACAATAATTTTAAAAAAAAATATTGTTTATTTAAAATCGTATTTTTATATATATATTGTATATATAATTTATTTCTAAACTATATATACTATATATACTGTATATATATACTGTATATAATTAAAAAAAAAATAAATAAATACTGTAAATCAAGTTTATTGTAAAATATTAAATATAATATAGTTATTTTAGTAAAAAAGTATATTATTGGCTATAAATTTGTTTATACTGTAATCTTTATAATTTACTTTAAAATTTAAAAAATAATTTTTTTTAATATACTGTATATATTTAAAAGTATGTTAATTTTTCAAATTTATATACTATAAATTGTAAATCAACTTTGTATAACTAATATTATAATAATATAATTTATACAGTATATAAACAATATAAGCAAATTTAGTTATACTGTATATAAAATTAATTTTTTTAAACCAATTTATATTTTATAACTTTACTATTATAAATAAACTATTCTTAACTATATATTATAAAATTATAAAAATAAAAGAGGTGTAGCAGCTTAATGAAGTGGTTAAGTCATCACCCTCTCCAAGTAGCAGGTCTAGGTTTCAAATCTTATGGATGATGAAAGTTTGAAAAATAGGCTTGCGTTATGGTAACAGATCTTTATTAAGTTGGGGCTTAGAGTAACCTGTAACCTTGGGTCACACTAATGCTCTGTATTGAAAAGTTGTCACTGTCGGGTGTCTGCGTACTGCCAAGCAGATATAGGATGTCTCAGTAGTATTAGTAACACCAAGGATCGAGAAGATTCTGGAACCTGCTTGGCAAGTTCTGAGTTGGGAGTAGCAGCGATCTTTAACGATATCACATGAAGGCTAAATTCGAACCAAAATCTGAGATTGGAGAACTGTAGAACCAGGTTCTTTAGTGGGGGAACACACTAGCCGAACCACTGGTTTAGATACACCAGAGG